CCACCGATGGGGGGAGGTTGGGGTGTCACTGGGTAGCTGGGGAGGGGTGAATGGGAAAGGGAGAGTTAAGTGCATCCTGAGCTGTGTCCCCAGCAGCTCCAGGGAGACCTTCTTGCAGCCTTCCAGTTCTTAAAGGGGGCCTGTTGGAAAGCTGGGGACAGTCTTTTTTAGCAGGGCCTGTTGCCACAGGACAAGGGTTGATGGTTTTATACTAAAAGAGGGGAGATTTCGACTAGATAGAAGGAAGATATTTTTTGCAGTGAGGGTGGTGAGACCCTGGCTCTGGTTGCCCAGAGAGGTGGTCGAAGCCCCATCCCTGGAAACATTCCAAGCTCTGATCAACCTACTCTAGTTGAAGCTGCCCCTGCTCACTGCAGGGTGGTTGGTCTAGGTGACCTTGAAAGGTCCCTTCCAACCCAAATCATTCTATTCTATGAAATAGCTGCAAACTTTGCATTATGTAGAACATCAAGTCCCAGGGCTTTGAAGATGGGACACATCCATTTTGCATCCATTTTCCATGCAAAAGCAGAGCTTGGCCACTTCCCAGATCATACACCTGCAGCTGCAAGCTGGACTAATACCCCTGCTCTATCCTTTTCTAGATCCTGTTCCCGACTCACCAAATGCCTTGAATGCCTGAAGACCCTGGAGGAAACCACATCTCCCAGAAGCAGCCAGGAGAGGCCAGGCAGCCACCATCCCACACTTGCCCAACTAAGGCACCCGAGAGGGAAGTGTGGCCATGGACAGCAAAGCCTTAAAATAAGAAGCTCAGTGAACCTCTCTTGGCGGATATTGGGATTTCACTATTTCTGTGGAGAAGAGCATGGCTCTGCACTGCTCATGTTTTATGGACTAGCTGAAAATTGGGAGTGCTGGGAAGGAAGGACAACTTGCACCTGCAAACCTCCCTGAGAATTTAATTTATTGGCATGGGGTTAAACTCTGCAACATCAACCTGTTTCTACATATTTGACTGAGCACCCTCTCCAGGCGAGGATGGTAACGTACTTCATCCACCATGAGAGAAACAGGCTTGCAGGCAAACCTTGGGCTACCTTTTTCTTTGCAAAACAGGAAGGGGAGAGGCTCCCTGCTTCTCTCAGAGCCCTCCTTCCCCACCAGCCTTTTGAGATGGTCGTGGACTTGTGGGGCTGCCACCTTTTCAGCTGGACATACATTGGGAGGAGCCTTTTTTCTGCTGCAGTTATATCCTCAGCTTGGGATGAGGGGAATTTCTATTTGTTTCAGTACCAATGCTGATTAAAAGAAAAAAAAAAAAAAAGGATGTTTGAGGATATTTATACCTTTTTTTTTTTTAAATGACTGCAAACTAGACAGTTCATCTGGAGGGTGTGGAAGGATGTTCTTGTGATGTGGATGAGAGCCCCTGAGGAGAGGTGGGAAACACTCCACCCATCCCCTCCTGGGTCTAACATGGCCAGAGCAGCCATCCCTGAAGCCACTGCCTCCAACCAGCTGGAGGACCCTGCGATGCTCCAGGGGACACAGGTGCTCTCACAGCACCCTCCATCCAAACACAGCACCCTCCATCCAAACACAGCACCCTGGCATCACTTATCCGAAAGAAGCTGGAGGTCAGGCTCCAGCGTGACTCAGCCTCTGGTGAGGAGATAAAAGCTTGTGGTAGACACTTACTCAAAATGTGTGTTTGTTTCGATTTTTTTTCCCCCCTTGCTTCTGTTTTTGTTGTGAAGTGGGGAAAAAATTGCCACGAGACAAACATAAACACGAGTCATATCAAAACAGTGTCAGACCTGAGCACTAGCCCTCTCAGGCAGCGTGCCCAGGCAGAGATTTTCACACTCTGTGGCTGGAGGAAACAGCATTTCCTTCTGCAATGGGCTGGGGACAGGCTGCAGGATTGGGTTGATCCAGAGCAACTTCTAGATGAGCTGGCTGCAGGCAGAAGGGTAAAGGAGAAGCCAGCACCAATGATTCTGCTGCAGATGTAATTTCCTGAGCACGGGACTCAAGCTTTATTGCCACCCACGGCTCGGCCCCTTTCCCAGCCTTCCTAGGGAAGCTCGCCCAGTCCCTCCAGCACTTCCTTCTCCCAGTCCCAGCAGCTGCAGCCAGAAAGACAGGCAGGGGATGTGCCTTCCTGCAGGTCCTAACCGCTCTGAAACCCTTTCCAAAGCCCTCCATTTGCTCCACTTCGGTGACAGAGTAAAGCTTTGTTGGAAACAAGTTTCTCTCCGTGCTGCAGGAATCCTTTTTTTTTTTTTGGGGATACCCTGTGCTGTAGGTGGGCAGGCAGAGGTGAGCTGGGCAGCCACGTGCTCTTTCAGAGGCACTGGTGGGGCACTGAGTGGCATCAGGGATTGTTTCCCACCTGGAAAGCTCACCAGAAGGAAAATTAAAGGTATTTAGGGGAAAGAAGAGATGGCTACCCAGCTTTCTGCAGGTGGTGGAGCCAGAGCCCTGGAAAACTGGGTGTCCACCTTGGCCTCTACCACTGGTGGAGAAGATGGCATGGTGCTGCATTTTCAGGCAGGAAGAAGCTTGTGGTGAATCATAGAATGTTTTGGGTTGGAAAGGACCTTCAAAGCTCATCTAGTCCAACCTCCAAGGTGAAGGAGATGCAGCAAGATACTGATAACCTCATGGACCTTGCCAGGTCCCATCAGCTCTTGTGAGGGCCTGACTTAGGAACACACAGGGGTTGGTGCCCTGCTGCTGGCTGTTTTCTGCTGTATTAGCACTTGAGGCTTTGCTGGTGAGGAGAGTAAGAAGCTGCAATGCTTCACCTGAACCCTTGTTTCAGAGGGGGTGGACAGAAACAGAAACTGCAGAGGCTGGAGCAGCCCTGGCCAGGGTTGGCTGCAAGGTCAGTGGCTGGGTGGTGAGGAGCAACTTTGCCAGTCTGCCCTGCCTTGGGGGCCTGTGTCTGCAGGTGTTGGGGGGAGTCCTGCTCCAGCACATGCAGGTGCTGCAGCTCCCCTGGGCAGACATCCATCCTTCTGCTGCAGGAAGCATCTGAAAGACTCGGGAGCAAGGCCAGTCCTTGGGGAGGTGCAGCTGCAGGCTTGCACCAGGGTCAGGCAGAGCTTGGGTGACTCCAAGTCCCACTCATGGACACCAAGAGCTTCCTGTTGCAGCTCACCAGGTTGTGAGGGTTTTCTTTCCTGCAGTGCTTTGGGGTAAATGCTTTTCTCTTATAATTAACACTTTACCCTTTTGCCCCTGCACTTCCAGCTCCCAAGAGAGTGATCCATATTCCCTGTACTCTTGCTGCCCTGGATATCATGGATCACCATGGGACTTTCAAGTCCTCTGTCTCCCCCATTCTCAGAAGGCCATGACTTGAAGCACATGAAAGGACATACAACTTATAAGCAGTAATCCCTTTTTGTGCACCATTGCATCATCTTAGACTTGTGAAACCAGAGTTTCTAACAGGTGACAAATTCCCAACAGACATCATTTCATCATCCAGGCTGGAGGCCAGCACTCACTGAGTGACACGCAGGACAGCCTCTCACAAGACCTAGGCGTGCTTGAGCTCCAAAAAAGGTCTGAAATTCTTCTCCCTGCTCAGGAATCGGGTCACTGGACACTTTGTTTCACTTCAGTCTGGTGGGATTTTCATAGTTGCTGCTGGCATAACTGGCAGCGGTGACGTGGTGCAGAAACCCTGAGGACAAGCAAGGCTGCTGGGACACTGCTTTGGCAGCATGAAGCAATAAGCTTCATGCTTCCAGCACAGAGAAGACAAGAGGGCATTGCCATGGCAATGGGACTGGCCTGCTCAGCACATGGAATTCCTCACAACAGCAGCATCAGCAATGCTCCCAGGGTGCCAGGGCGAAGGAGACAAGGAAGAGCTGGTGGTATCAAAGAATCGTAGAATGGATTGGGTTGGAAGAGGCCTTTAAAGGTCCAGACTCCTTCTTCAGTGAGAAGGGACAGCTTCCACTAGAGCAGGTTGCTCAGAGCCCCATCCTACCTCACCTTGAGCACCTCCAGGGATGTGGCTTCTATCATCTCTCTGCATAATCTGGGCCAGGATATCACTATCCTCACTGTAAAAAATTTCTTCCTTCTCTCTAGTCAAAATCTCCCCTTTTCTACTTTAAAACCATCACCTCTTGTCCTTACTGTAACACTCTTATTGTCTTTGTCTTATTGTAACAGACCCTGCTAAAAAGATTGTCCCAATCTTTCTGATAGGCCCCCTTTAAGTACTGAAAGGATGCAAGAAGGTCTTCTCCTGGAGCCTTCTCCTCTCCATGCTGACCAAGCCCAACTCTCTCCTGCTGGCCTCCCAGCATGGGAGTTCCCCCCTCGGGTCACTGCTGGGGCTCCTCTGGCCCTGCTCCAGCAGGTCCCTGTCTCTGCTGTGCTGAGGACTCCAGAGCTGCCCCAGCACTGCAGGGGGGTCTCCCCAGAGCGGGGCAGAGGGGCAGGATCCCCTCCCTGCCCTGCTGCCCATGCTGCTGGGGGTGCAGCCCAGGATCCATTGGCTTCTGGGCTGCAAGCACACATTGCCAGCTCCTGTCCAGCTCTGGACTCACCAGTATTGGATGCTGAAGTTATAAGAAGCTGCCTTCTCTCATTTTGGTGGACAGAGACCTTACCTAGATTTAAGCTGTAGTGGTGACATGGCTTAAAAGGATGATGATGCACAGGCAGGCATGTGAACTCCCCGGGAAGGAGGAGCTGAGAGTGCAAAGCCCAACATGAGCATTGCAAGCCACACTTTGCACTGCTGGTTGCAACCTGTTTCCTCAAAATGTAGAGCAGGGCTCTGCAGCGAGAGCTCTGCTGGGAGATCAGAGAGATGGAGAGAGATAGCAGGGGGAGGTGGGTGAGAGGAAGGATGGTAGGGTGTCGCATGGGGTGTCACGTCTGTGTGTCTCACAGTTTGGGCTTGCTTTGTGCACCCAGGAGCTTGCTCATGTCCCTGCATGACCAGGGGCTTTAGGAGGGACTCGGGGCTGGAAAATGCACGAAGAACACAGCAGTTGCAATGGTGAGTTCAACATCCTTGTCTCTCTTCAACCATGGAGACCAGAACTACACCTGATCCTCCACATGTGGCCTCACCAGGGCAGAGAAGTGGAGGAGAACCTCCCTCAATATGCTGGCCACACCCTTTTTAATGCACTCCAGGAGACACTGGCCTTCTTGGCTACAATGGCACACTGCTGGCTCATGGTGAACTTGTTGTCCACCAAGTCCTTCTCCACAGAGCTGCCTTCCAGCAGGTTAACCCCTAACCTGTACTGGTGCAGGGGCCTATTCCTCCCCAGGTGCAGGACCCTACACACTTGCCCTTGTTGAGTTTCATTACGTTCTTCTCCACTCAACTCTCCAGCCTGTCCAGGTCTTGCTGAATGGCAGCACAGCTCTGGTGTGTCAGCCACTCCTGGTTTTCTATCATCAGCCAATTGGCTGAGGGTCCACTGTGTCGCTTCATCCAGGTTGTTGATGAATATGTTGAACAAGACTGGACTCAGTCCTGACCCTGGGGACCACCACAAGCTACAGGCCCCCAACTAGACTCTGTGCTGCTGGTCACAACCCTCTGAGCTCTGCCACTCAGCTAGTTCTCAATCCACCTCACTGTGCAGTCATCTAATCCACACTTCCTGAGCTTACCTATGAAAAGGTTATGGGAGACAGTGCCAAAAGCCACCAGACTGCTTGCCCCTTCAGATACTTTTGATGTTTTTTGGCATTACAGATGGGAGACTGCCTCTCCCTGAACGACTGCAAGAGAGGGTCCTGCAGGACTAGGCACCGAAGGAAGCTCTGAATCCAACCTGTAGGCATATAGAGTTGGACCTTGAGTCATAACCCAAATGGCCGAGTCACAGAACCACCACGCTCTGTGCCAGTCCCCCCCTTCCGCGCTCGACGTCTCAGTGCTACGCTCGCTCCCGCGGCACTGCCCAGCTCCATCCTCCTCCCAGAAGGCACGTTTTGGTGGCTCACCGACAAGGAGGGGTTGCCCTCATCCTCCACGGTGACCACCAGGCTGTAGAAGCTCTGGCGCTCGCGGTCGGGCGGGGAGGGCCGGGTGGCGATCTCGCCGGTGACGCGGTCCATGCGGAAGGTCAGGTCCTCGTTCCCACGGGTGATGTAGTAGGAGAGGACGCTGTTGAGGCCGACGTCCCGGTCGGTGGCACGTACCTGGGCCACCGCCGTGCCCCCACCGACGTTCTGAGGGTGAGATGGGGGGCAGAGGTACGTGGCATAAGTCACGTGCACCTCATAACATATACAAGACATAATTAATAACATAATTCTAATAGAGAGAGGGGGTTTTCCAGGCTCCAGATTCACTGCCCCGACACCCAGCAGCCAAGCAGAAGGCTGCTCTCCTTCTCTCCTTCGCCAGCTCCTGGATCCCATTTTTGCAGGGCTTTATTGTAGATGGTGTTTTACCAACAGATGCATCTTTGTGCAAAAAATTAACCAAGGCTACTCGCCCTGCTACTGATAGCTCAGCTGAGAATCAGCCACAGGCATAGCAATGGAAGGCTCTGCCCTTTGCTTGAGTGCTTCAGTCTTTCTTGGTTGGAAACCCTGGAATTTAATGCATTTTCTATCTTAGCTTTTAAAAAGAAACAGAATGAAACTAACAGGTGACATTTGCTGTGGAAGTCACACACAGTGTGAAAATTCAGCGTGCTGACCTTGCACCTCTTTTTCCTACATTACAGCATCTCCTATTTGTTGCAATGAACCAGTTTTCAGATTCACAATGGTGGGAAGCTGCATGTTAGGTCCTATCTAGGCTGGCACAGTCCCGAAGAGGATAAAACCACGTGTCTGTGTGCAAAGGTGAAAGCTGGGTAATGGACTCAGCGCTCAGCTAATTATTTTTGGATAGTCCTATTACAGGGGAAATCAAAACAGAAATTCTGCTCTTCAACCAGCTCTGAACATGTATTAAATAGATAAGAAAATCCTAACAGGGCAATAACTTTAATGCAAAGCTATTAATCATGAGCAGCACCTTTTCACAGCTAAGTGTCACTGGCTATTACTTGTATTTCATTTTTCATCATCAAATTGAGAACCCCCTGGTCCAGGAATTAAGCTGTCAGGAAATAAGTTGTCTTTTCTCACACCCGATTGTGTTTTATTGCTTAATTATCCAGCTCTTGCAGAGCTGCTTCCTGAGAGCAATTTCTATTCTGTACTGCTCTGCCTCTTGTGTCATTTCCAGGGGTGTATAGCCACTTCTCCTTCCTGCTAGTCCCTGCACTTTCATGAGCTTAAGTTGCTTGTGCAGCTCACTCCTAGCCCAAAATGAAGAGGCTATCACAGGTGAGGGTTTGCAAGGGGCCAGAAACCCTTAAATCATCCAAGCTGAGGTCTAACCACTAGACAGGTGGGGACAACAGAGTTGGTGGTCAGACGTCACCTTGGGAGGGTGGAAGGAGAGGAGCAGGGCTGGACACTCACCTCACTCACGCTGACGTTGTAGCCAAAGGGGCTGTCAATGATGGGGGGGTTGTCATTGACATCGAGGATGTTCACTCGCAGGGTGTGCTCCTTTCTCCGCGGGGGCACGCCACCATCTGAGGCTTGGATCTGCAGTTGCAATTAGATTTAAAAACCAAAACAAAAGAGGTTTTTAAGCTCACAGCCCCCAGAAAACAGTCTCGATGCTCAAACCAGAAGAAGCCCAAGGAGGTAAGAGGGATAGTTTGGTGCTTACCCGTAAGGTGTAGTGATCCAGCAGCTCCCGGTCCAGTGGCCGTGCCACAAACACCTCACCATAGGTGTTGTTGGTGGTACGAATCTCGAAAGCCCGACCGATGTTCCCTGATGTCAGCGAGAAGGTCACCTGGAAACATCCCAGGGGAAAGAAAAACAGAGCATGCAATGTAGTGCTGTGAGGAGGATGGAAAGAAAGGAGACCCTACAACAACAAACCCAGCATTGCCTCAGGAAGCCTCTGAGGTCCTTTAAAAGGTCCAATGTGTGGGGTCCATGGGTGCGTTGGCTTATTGCAGCCACCCCAAAGCACATGCCCACAGGCCAGCCCTGGTCTCATCCACAGCCCTCCTACAATACTAGCAGTTTTTGGCATTAAGGGTGTTGGGACCTCTTTGATGCCTGTCTGCATGGTAAGGAGAATCACAAAACATAGAATGGTTTGGGTTGGAAGGGACCTTAAATATCACCTAGTTCAAACCCCTCACCATGGGCAGGGACGTCTCCCATTAGACCACATTGCCCAAAGCCCCATGTGAGAGCTTCCTGCTCAGCCTACCAGTTTCTGGAGGGATTTCTTCCTCAGTAAAACACTCCCACAGCCTTATGGGCAGCCCCAAACCTGCTGTGCTGGCCTCCCTACCTGCCCATTTCTGCCTGCATCCGGGTCACGGGCCAGGACCACAGCCACCCGCTTGCCGACTGCGCTGTCCTCCGCCACGCTCACCGACGAGTCGGAGGTGATGTCAAACTGGGGGCTGTTGTCATTCTCATCCAAGACTGTGATGGTCACCTGCAAGTGTGGCATGGAGCTCAGATAGGAGCTGGCCCCATGCTAGCCTGGTATCAGCAGCCACCCAAGCAACCCCAACAACCCTCGACACCCTTTTGAGGTGCCAAGAGCATCAATGCTGCCCATCCCACGTGGGAGTGGGCCCAGGTATCTGAGTCTAGGAGCTGAAGCTACATCCTTGTCTGCAGTGGATGAGGAGGAGGAGGGATGCTTAGAGGCTGGAGAAAGAGCACAAGAGTGCAGTAGCTCAAGTGGTGGATTTTCCTATGGAGCATCCTCTGTTGTTTTTATCCTCCAAATAGCTGGGCATGGAGCAACTCAGCGCTGCGGCAAGGTGACCCTTTCCTGACAGGACCAGAGGTTGGGCAGGGTTTGCTTTATGGCTAAACAGTAACAATGAAAACAGAGCTGCCTGTGTTTAACTAAACCAGGGCAAGCTGGGCAAAGAGAAGACCTGAGCTCCCTCCTGGGACAAGGGTGTAAGAGACTGGGCAGGAGATGCTCAGAGGGACACTCCACCACAGGCGACTGAGGAGCAGGCTACCTTGGCCACAATTAGCCAGAGGAAATGCTCTCATCGTGTTTATAATCAAAATGCTGTGACACGTCACAGAAATGAGAGAGGAAGAGCCTTTCTGTTCCCGGGGCTCTATTTCTGGGTGCCCTGAGCACCCAGGTGCGGCCGGGCTGAATGCAACAACATCCCGGAGGAAGCTGAGGAGTGAGTTGTGCTCCTTGGGGTGATTCAGTTATTGTTGCTGTTGAATTAAAAACACAGAGCCAAGAGCCAGGAGAGCCCATTCAGCTGCTGCAGCGGATCCAGCAGCTGCTGCCCCCAGTGCCGGGTTGGGGTGTTGGGACTTTGGTTGCCAGCAGTGAAGTGGCTCACAGGCACCACACCGTGTCCTGAGCAGCATCACACGGGCTGGTGCTGGTGGGATGGGGCTGGAGATCCCTGGTCCCTCCTCGCAGCTCAGTGTGGAGTTGGGGATGGATCCTGGCCCCCGAGGAGACGCCAGCATGATGGATGAGCTTACCTTCTGTGGGAAGAGAGCAGAGGGGGAAACAGAGAAAACAAAGAACCACCAGTTAATAGGGGATGAGGAGGTGCAGGCACATGTGAGGGGCAGTGGGATAGCCCTGCATCCCACCCCAGCAGTGTCGAGGGCACCCTGCTGCAGTCGTTCAGAAGCTCCTCTGTCACTGCATCCCTTTGTTTTTGGTAGATTTGACCCTTGCTGTAGGAGAGTCTCAGACAAGAGCACGGCAGCATGAAGAGAACACAGCTGCTGGCACCCCCATGGGTGGGGGCACACAGCACTTGCAGCCTCACTGCCTTTGCCACTGTCCTTTTGAGAGACAACAGGTGCACCAAGAAACACCAAGCACTGCCCAACGCTCTGGGCCAGCCTCTGGTTTCACACTCTCCCCTGGACCCTGCTCCCCCAGCTGGCCTAAACCAGCAGGATTTGGGTAGTGCCAGCTGAGCTGCACTACCATTGGATAGAGACCAGGCTTGCTCTGCACCCAGCATGTCTCCTGCCCCCACAGAGAAATGCAAATCACCCCCCTCTGCTCGGCTGCCTTTGAAACTGCCAAATATAACTCTCTTAAACATAGAATCATCAAATCTTTTTGGTTGGAAGATGCCTTTAAGATCATCAGGTCCAACTGTTCACTCAGCTCTGACAGGGCACCACTAACCCATGTCCCTCAGCACCACATCTACACGGCTTTTAAATCCCTCCAGGGATGGGGACTCCACCACTGCCCTGGGCAGCCTGGGCCAGGCCTGGACAACCCTTTCAGGGAAGATGTTTTTCCTCATGTCAAACCTAAATCTCCCCTGGTGCAACTTGAGGCTGTTTCCACTTCTCCTATCACTTGTTCCTTGGGAGAGGAGCACCTGGCTACAACCTCCTTTCAGGTAGTTTTAGAGAGTGAGAAGGTCTCCCCTGACCCTCCTTTTCTCCAGGCTCAACAACCTCAGGTCCCTCAGCTGCTCCTCACAGGACTTAGGCTCTAGACACTTCTCACTAGCTTTGTTGCCCTTCTCCAGACATGCTCCAGCCCCTCAATGTCTTTGTTGAAGTGAAGGGCCCAAAACTTAACCCAGGATTCAAGATGCAGCCTCCCCAGTGCCCTCAGTCCAGGGGGATAATCCCTGACCTAGCCCTGCTGGCCACACTAGTGCTGATCCAAGCCAGGCTGCTGTTGACCTTCTTGGCCACCTGGACACACTGCTGGCTCATATTTACCTCCCTCAAAAGTGTTGTAGCTCAGTAAGCAACCTGAAAACTCCACAGTTTGTTGTGGGTTGTTTTATTTGTTATTCTGAGAAATCCTATGATAATGCAGAAGCTGAAAGGTTCATGCTTATGCAAATGCAGGGTTTCCCACAAATCTGTTTCCAAACCCCAGTGGCCGGAGCAGAGAGCACAATTAGGACATGTTGTCCCATGCCAGAGGAAGAGGGAGGTGACCTGAGGTCAGCTCTGCCCATACAGAGCTTGGTGGGGAAGTGGATAGAACCTACTCACCACTGTGGAGTCTATCTTTGGTCCTCCATCATCAGCTACCACTGTCAAGGTGTAGAAATCCCCTTTCTCCCGATCCACTTGGCCTTTAACTGTGATCACACCCTGCCAAAGATGAACAGCCATGTTAGCAACCACCACTTTGGTGGACAAGTGAGGCAGGAGGTACTGCACTAGCTACTTACTGTGATCCCATTGATTTTGAAAAGGGAAAGTGCCTGGGCATTGGTGTTGGGGTCGAACTTGTAGGTTATCTGGTTGAGGTTGTCAATGGAGCGGGCCTGGACCCTGAGCACCTCGGAGCCCATGGGGATGTTCTCCATGATCACGGCCTCGTAGCTGCTGTTGGAGAACTGCACGGCCTCATCCAGCTCATTCAGCAGGCTGACGTACACGCTACAGAAGCCCTGGTTGTTGGGGGGTGCTTGGTCGGTGGCAGAGATATTCATCAGGTAGCTGGTTTTGGTCTCATAATCCAGGTACTCGATGGTCGTGATGAGGCCCGTGCTCTCATCAATCTCAAACTTCCCTTCAGCACCCGACAGGATTTTGTAGCTCACCAAACCGCCGTTCCCTGGGGTGGGAGGAGGAACCATGGTGCTGGTTGGACCAAGCATCCCAAAGAGACAGGCACCACTGGTACACACCGTGACTATGGAGCAGAGCCCATCTCGCACGAGGATTTCAACCCAGGCAAGCCAGGATCCATGGAATGGTAAACTTCACCACTTCCCCCCAACCTAGCTGTTTCTCACCACCAGCTTCTTACCTGTGTCTCGGTCGGTGGCCCGGACCACTGCCACTGAAGTCCCTATACCTGCTGTCTCCCTCAGTCCCAGACGGTTGTACTGCCGCTGGGTGAACACTGGCACCTCGTCGTTGACATCTTCCACATAGATGATCACCTGTGAACCCCCCCCATGAGAAACCACAGGTGAGCCAGGCAGGTTTGTGAACCCTCTCTAGGTGCTTACACTCGTGAGGGGAAATATTCCTTCATGGAATTTTTCATGGCTCTTATCTGCTGCATATGAGAAACATTCTCTCTACTACAAACACCATGTGATGGAGAGAGAACACACAGAGTTTAACATCATAGAGATAAACAAGCCCTGTGGACAGGGTAACTCAGTCCTTCCCCAGCTGAAGGCATGTACAGTCTGTATATTAATTCCTCTGTACTTTGGGATCTTCTGCTCAAAACCTTGCAGCTAGAGATCCTGCAATGTAGAAACATTGATGTCTTGGTGGGAAATTTTGCTCCAAGTTCAGCGGGTCGAGCTCCTGTTTCCCTAGGGAACATCCTTTTTCCTCCTGGTTTTCTGCTTGCTGCTGGTGCTGCGGGCATGTCACGCTCAGCCAGAGCCCACCCCACCAGTGGCTCTAAAAATATATGCAGCCAGAGGGCTGGGCTTGTGGGAACCGTGGGAAGCTAGTCTGTCACTGCTAGAGATTATTGCCACCAAGCCCTGGGTTATTTAAATAGATGCCTGGCCAGGAGACAGTTTCCAATAGGCTGAAGCTCAGCTCCCAACAGCTGAGCTGCATCTCACCAGGCAAGCAAGACTCCCTTTGACAACAACTGCCACACCCCTTAACAGCCTCACTGCACCAAAACATCACAGGAAAAAATGAAAAAATGCCACAAAGAACCCTCCAACAAGCCCTTCTCCATCCATGGGCAGCCCCTAGAGACTTTCTGTTAGCATTTCCACACCAGATCACTCCAACTTCCTGCGTGCTCGCAAGGGCTGGATGTGACCTCCCTCTAACGAAGCATCCCAAATATTTTACATTAACTCCTCCATCGCCCAGCCCTGCTGCCCACCCCTTAGCAGCCACAAGGTCCTTACCCTCACGGAGCTCCTCATGGGTCCCTGCTCTGTGTTGTAGGCCTCTACCTCCAGGACGTGAGAGGAGTTTTGCTCCCTGTCGAGGTGCCGCACGCCTCTCATCACCAGCCCCGTGCTGGGATTGATGCGGAAGTGGTTGTGCTCGTTTCCTGGAGGGGGGGAGAAGTGAGAGGGATGCTGCCCATCGTTGCTGTCTCAGCACTGGTGACATGCCAGGCTCTCCCCAAGGAGCTATCTTGGAGGAAGGTTGTTGAGCAAAATACAAGCCCTACCACCTTCAGCTACACTAGGGTTTAGCCCCGGTCAAGCCAGGAGCTGTGGCATCTAGGTGTCCATCCATGACAGATCATCCGCTGGCAATTAACCCTGATGATTAAGTTTTGCTCAGAGGTGGGGGAAATGTTTCTGTAGGCTGCAAAGTGCACAAGGACGGAGAGTGCAATGGCTGGAGCCTGGTACAAACCCACTGATGCACAAAGGGACACCTGGACTTACCCCTGACAATCCGGTACCACACCCTCCCGTTAACACCTTCATCCACATCTGTGGCTTTCACCTTCAGGAGAAAAGAACAACAATGAGGGTGTAGGGCAGAGATTTCCACACTGGGACAAGTCTTCCCCTTCTGCCAAGGCTGGACATTCTGTCCCTCCACCTGAGCCAAGGAGCTTACCAAGTGCAAAGCAAAATAATTACCCTCCCCTAGTGTTGTGGCTTAACCTCAGCTGGCAACTAAACACCAGCAGCTGCTGGCCACTGCCCCCCTCCTCCATATGTCAGGGGAGGAGAATTGAGAGGAAAAGAAAAAGAAAAAGCCCACAGATTGAGATAAGGACAACTGAATAGAGCAACACAAAGAGAAAAGAGACAACAATAATACTTGTGACTTAATATATAAAGCAAGTGATAATAAGCCCCTTACCTGAGACGCAGCTCTTCCTGCTCCAGCAGCATGCTAAACCCACCCACTGAAACAAAACCCTGCCCCCCTGTACCTGAGCCCCTCCCCTTATATAGAGGATGTGATGTGAGTAAGATATCAAATATCCCACTGGCTGGTTTGGTTGTTCACCCTAGCTGTGGCCCCACCCAGCTGCAGCTGCTTGTGAACACTAACCCTATCCTGGCCAAATCCAGGACACCTCAGCACTAACCAGCAGGAAAAAACGTGGGAGCTCTTGGCTGTCAGGTTAGCTGTTGGATGGGCTTGGAGTGGGAGCTGAGCCTAAGGACCATGCCATGAAACCCATGGGCCAGTGCAGTGGTGGAGGTGCATCCACTGGTCCTGCTCTGTGCTTGTCCCACTGGAGACAGAATTATAGAATTGTTCAGGTTGGAAAAGACTTTTAAGATCATCAAGTCCAACTGTTCACTCAGCACTGACAGGGCACCACTAAACCATGTCCCTCAGCACCACATCTACACGGCTTTGAAACCCCTCCACGGATGGGGACTCCACCACTGCTCTGGGCAGCCTTGGCCAAGCCTGGACAACACTTTCAGGGAAGATATTATTCATCATGTCCAACCTACCCCCCTCCCTGCACAACCTGAGATTGTTTCCTCTTGTCCTGCCACTTGTTTTTTGGGAATAGAGACCAACACTACCACCCCCCCAACCCCCCATCCTCTCCTCTCCCCCCCTCTGGCTCCAACATCCTTTCAGGGAGTTGCTGGGACCCAGAAGATTTCCCTTGAGCCTCTTTTTCTCCAGGCTCAACAACCCCAGGTCCCTCAGCTGCTCCTCACAAGACTTGTGCTCTAGACCCTTCCCCAGCTTTGTTGCCCTTCTCTAGCCATACTCCAGCCCCTCAAGGTCTTTCTTGGAGTCAGCGTCCCAAAACTGAATGGAGGGTTTGAGGTGCAGCCTCCCCAGTGCTGAGGCCAGGGGGTTGTTCCCTGCCCTACTCCTGCTGGCCACACTAGTGCTGGTACAAAAGTTGCTGCTGGGGATGGAGCCTCCCTGCCTGCAGAGCTGGTTTGACATGGGCAGGGATTGCTGCTCCCACTCATGGTGGGCACCCAGCCTACAGCATCAGGGCAAGCCATCAAAGCAGCAGCATATGTAAAAATGACCAAAAGAAACATGAATGCAACCAGTATAGAGTATGCTGGTGGTCTGGACACTGGTCTGGGTCCTCAGAAGAGCCAGAGCAGCTGGTGGGAGCATCCCTCAGCTGTGATGTACTCCAGGGTCCACGCATGGCCTGAATAAACCATCCACCCTGGGAAACTCAAGACACGGGTCCCCTCTGGTGTCTCTGAACAACACTGCAGTGTTTCCCAGCAAACGCCAGCCAGCAGCACACCAGCTCTGGCAGCTGGGAAGCGGGACCTGGTGAGGGACAGCGTGGCCAGGGCTTCCTTCCCAGCTGTCATCCAGCCACTGCATCCATCTCCCCTCCACAGGAACCACTTCCCATAAAGCATCCAAAGCATGACCGTGGTGGTGACTGCTTGTGAATCATCAGGGTGAGGATGCAGGGAATACCTTAAGCCTTTATTCTTTGCCTGTTGCCCTTGGCAAGGTATCTACTGCTGTATCTCCTCCCTACAAATGTTACCCAGAGGTTTCCTTTCCCCAGGCAGGTGGGGGTTTGTGCCCTGACACACACTCTGAAGAGGAGGGCAAAGGATGCACATGCAGCAGGAACACTGAGGCCATTTATAGGGGCTCAGCTTTAAAGCCCTGGGCTTCATCCACAGCCCCACACCACGCTTGCAGGAGCCAGAGCTGCTCTTCTGAAATGTTGTTTTGAGATGACACGAACTGCTCTTGTTCCATCAAATCAGCCTGTGTCAGCAGAACCCTTAGAAAACGCTGACACCCCACACTTGCAAACTACCTGGATGTAGGATACCCAGATAACATAGTGTCCAGGGTACTCCTGTGCTACACACACTGTTTTCCTCTGTCCCAGATCAGATCCCATCCTGCTCATGCCTGGACACAATCCTGTGCCTTGCTCAATGTTTCACCATGGAGCCAGCACCTCAGAATCACAGAATCACTTTGGTTGGAAGACGCCTTTAAGATCATTAGGTCCAAGTGTTAACTCAGCACTGACAGGGTATCACTAAACCATGTCCCTGAGCATCACATCTACACAGCTTTTAAATCCCTCCAGGGATGGGGACTCCACCACTGCCCTGGGCAGCCTGGGACAGGGCTTGACAACCTTTTTCAGGAAGAAATATTTCCTACTATCCAACCTAAACCTCCCCTGGTGCAACTTGAGGCCGTTTCCTCTTGTCCTATGGCTTGTCACCTTGCTTTCACAACAGAGAGTTCTCCTTCCCACAGCAGCTCTCCCACCCTTGGGGCTCCCCGAGGCCATCTCTGGGCAGGAGCTGGGCTGTCTCCCCTCCCAGGTGGTGGATGGGCTCCACAGCAGCTTGCCACTGATGCTCAGGCACAACAGCTGCCTTGGCAAGGCACAGCACTGACTCTCTCCTGGGAAAATCTATCTTATTACCTGAAACACCATTTCTAGGAGAACTGGAAGACTAAGGGATGGGGGATAAAGCTTTGCAGCTTTTTGCACCATTCCCTGCCCTGCTGTGCCTGGGAAAATGCATTTCAAGGTGAGCAAACAAGAAGGTTTTCAACATGATGAGCAAATTTCACCCTGCAAACACCCACTCGGGCACCCTTCTCCCAGCTCCCTCCCAGCATCTCCTGCAGGCAGCCCCAGCACAGAAATCAGGTGAAATGGATCAGCCCAGCTATTTGATTTTTAGTTTTTAAAAAATCAGTTTGCATTAAAACAACACATACTCCTGCCAGCCTACAGCCTGGGAAAAACTTGACTGCTGCTGCTTTGACCCAGTGAAGTCCCAGAGGAGACATGATATTTTGACAGACTGTCCCAAACTTGGGAAAATGACTGCACTTGAGTGCAGTAAAGCTCTTTCTGCTGCAGAAATGAGGCACCTTCTGCACCCAAGCACTGGGTGCCTCCAGCTTGCTTTAGAGAACGGGCTGCAGGCAGAGCCAGACTTCTGCAGGCCACCTTTCAAACACCCCTGGCTACGGGGAAGGGGTCAGAAAAGGAGGAGGAAGGAGTGGGTGTGGGAATAAAAGGCTGGGAATAAAGCAGGAGGCTTGGCACAGAGTTGCTGGGAAAAGGGGGAGCAGGCGTGGGGCTCAGCCCACGACTGTACCATTCAACCTTCCTGCAGGGGCAAAGCTCAGGGAAACTCATCCTCGGGGGCTCAGCCCCTCAGCCCAGCAGGGCACAACTCTGGGGCATCACCACCCTGGCAAATCCTGGCAAAGGGCTCGGGGGCCCCCTTGGCTTTGTATGCTCGAGCTGTCCCCAGCCTGGCTACTATTGCTCTCCCACCCTCCCTTGCCATCCCAAAGGGAGGAAGGGGCTGGCAGCTGGTGGAGCGTGGAGGGAGAGGCAGCAAGGCAGGCGTGCAGGAGGCAAAGCCCAGGCTCGGCTGGCCAGCGAGAGGTAGGGACCCCAGACCCCCCTGGCAAACCCAGCACCAGCCACTCAGGCTAAGCCCGAGGGGGGAGTGAGGCAGGCCAGGGATGTGCCACCCCCCTCAGCCTGGGGAAAGGGCTGCAGATGAGGTGGGGATGGGCGATGCAAAGTTTGGGGTGGGTTTGAAGTCAGGCATCCCTCCTCCCTTCTCTATCCTGTTGCTTTGTGGTGGGAGAGAGGCAAAGTCCTGTGGATGCAGCACAGGGTGATGGGGTACAACGTGACTGACAGCCCTTGGCTTTTGGTACCCAACTATTTGGGTCAGTAACCTGCATGTTTGGGACCCTCCAGCATCACCTGCAAGTGAGTGGAAAAGTCTTAGTGCTTCAAGAAAAGCTGGGGAGCTCCAGAAAAGTGTTGCTAAGCAAGGTGGGGTGTGGAAAGAGAGCTGCTATTCATCAGAGCTGTGTTGTAGACACAGAATTGCCTGAAAACAGCCTTTTCTTTGCAGGAGTTTGAGAAAGGGAGGGAGAGCATATGGAAAAACTGGCAAACTAGGCAGCCTTGCCAGGCCAGGCAGACAGCACCTGGTGCTGGGCAGAACAACCCTCTCTGTTGCTCATCTATTCTTCTTCCTTTCCACCCTCCTCAGGAGCATTTTGCTTTTGGCAATTTCTTTTCTTGCCTTGTGCCCAGTGCTGGGTCCTGAGCACTCAGAACATCTTGTGTTAGAGCTGTTCAGGCAGGAATGACCCCTATGGGGAGGTTTGGCAGGCTGGGCAAGCCTCTTATCAAACCACCTGGACTGCACAATGTGGGGCTTGGGTGGGACAGCGCTGCTGGGAAGGGGGGATGGTAGGAACAGGGATGCAGGCAGCAGCTTGGCCAGTGGGTACAAAATGCTCTGGGTGACTGATCCTCTGTCACACTTCAAGAAAAGCACCAAGCTTTCACCTTGCAGGAAGGAAGCCCTTATCCCCACATGTGCCATGGGCAGGGGGAGTGCTGCTCTTACCATATCCTGAGCTCTCTGCTGATACGACACTAAATTTGCTGGCTTTTTGCTGAAATTCTGCTGAAATGGCTGTAGCTCTTTCAGGCAGGAGGTGAGGAGGAAATCCCCGTTGTTCACATCAAAACATCTAAAAACTTATTGGTCCTAAAAAACAGGTCACTGCTCACAGGTACTCTGCAAAGATTTCCCCAATTTTTAGTAGCTCCTTTTCTGGAAGGCCTCATAGATTTGGTGAGGGGCAGCCTAGACCTTCCCTGAACCTGCAGCTCTGCCAGCTGAGCTGGCTATGAGGAGAGGATGGGTGGAAAGCAAGAGGAGAAGAGTGCATGGCTGGAAATTCTGGGAAAATATCAGTGTGGTCCCTCCTGATGGGTTTCTAAGGGATGCTATCAGCTGAATTTGAAAGAAAAACCCTACGGCCACCACCAACGGAGCAAAAAACAACCTGAAGAAATTGCCCATGCCTCCTGGCTCGCTCTTAAACTATCTAAGGTCACCAGCCAGAACACGTGCAGTCAGTAAGTGCCAGAATTAAGGTAGCCGTGGTAACCTCAATTCAGGCTGCCTTTGGTGTGCAGGGTAAGCAGCTGCTCTGCTTGCTGTTTTTCATGCCCGGGCAGCACCCAGGAGCACCTTGCCCACGGAGCAGGGGGTCCTTGGGATGGCTGTGGCTGCCAGGGGCTGCTCTGCCTCCAAAGCTGGAGGGGAAGGGGCTGGGCCAGGCAAGGAGAGGCTGCAGGATAAAGAAACACTTTTGGGGTGAAGAGAGGAGGAAACATCTCTTCGGGGGAGGAGATGAGAGCCCTAGCCCCTGAGCCTGCTTGCAATACCCACGGGGACTCACCCGAGCTGAGGTATGCTCAGATACTGACCTATTTACTTTTATATTTGCCATTTTCTGAGCACAGACCTGGCCCTGACCTGGAGAAGCAGGCACATCTCCCCAGACCCTCCAAGCTTTGACCAGGCTGATAAAGTCCTTGCCCTGAGGCCACCAGCATCACAGCTTTGAATGCTCCAGCCCAGGCTATGGGAAGCATCCCAGAGATAAATCACATGTCCCAAGTGCCTCAAACCTGGCATCCAGTTGTAGTGGAAATCTCTGACCTTACTCCCCCTGTATCTCAGCTCCTTGCCTGCAGGGTGAAGAGCACGGATCCTGTGGGAGCACAGATGACCTGAGTTCAAGGGCTCCTCAACCCCCCAGCACTTGCTGGGAGCCTTGCAGCTCTCACAGTGTTTGCTTAAGGTTCTTTCCTCCTGCATAACTTGGAGGATGAGCGATGTTTATCTCTTCTGACGCAGCAGCTCGCTTTCCACTGGGCTCATCTCTGCTGGGGTGTCTCATAGTTTCCAATTAGTGATTAGAGACACTTTACTGATATCTCCACTCCCTTATTTTTTTTTTTTTTGCACTGCTTTACTGGTGAGTGTCTGGCTGCTGCCTACGCAAACCTGTACAGCTTTGGGGTGGCAGCTGCAAGAGCAGACCCAGAGACCCTGGCAGTCCCTGCAGCCCTGCCTTTCCCCTCCTAAGCTCTTCCTTTTAACTTGGCTCAATCCAAATCCATACTTGCCAGAAGCCTGCCCAGCCATGGAGCAGTCCAACAGCTCTCCAGCACTCTTCTAACTCCCACACCTCTGTAGGAAAGTCAATGTATTAAAGCTTTACCCCCAGCACACAGGCTAGAGCACCAAGGACCCAGCCAAGCTGTTGCATTGCAGAAAGCAATATTTCCCCAGCCCTCACCTCCAAGCTGGGGAGTTGCTGGCCTCGGGCACAGCCTGCCCAGGGCCAGGAACAGGCACAGGAGCAAAACCATGGCTGTAAACTTCGCCAGGGGTATAAGCTGGGTGGGGGTCTGACCCAGTGAGAAGAGGATAGGACAGTGGCCATCAGGTGTTTGGTAAAGAGCTCTTACTGATGAGGCTTTGGGACATCACTGATTGCAAGACTGGCTGAGAAATCGGCGACGTGTCTGAACCTGAAACTAGGTCAGCAAAAAGCCTAACCCAGAAGGATTTTTGGCACAAGCAGGGTGAGCGTGTTACACTTCACCCCTGCAAAAATAAAAAAGGTAAAGCCAGTGCAATACTGCAGCTCGATGGGGACTTATCTGAGAGGAGGTTCAACCAACATAGTTCATGGTACTATGTGTATCTGAGACTACCTGTGGTAGTTTTCTTTGCCAGATAGTTTTGTACTTCAATTCAGGGCAGTACTTTCCTGGTATCAATTCCACCTCTGTGCTTTGCCTGCTAACAAAGCAGATTCTTGTCACCCTGTGTCACAGAAAACACAACCAGGAGAACCTCAGACATCAAGGTGAGCCAAAAATCTATCAGACAGGACAGAGGGAAGTTGTCTGTCCAGCTTCTAGGTGGTAATCACCCGTGTTGTTTCTCTGTGTCACCTTGTGCCCTGCAGGGAAGATGAGCACAGAGGACATTGGCAACGGGATCTCTCCCACTCCACCTCTCCTTGGGCTTCTGGTTTCAACCACCAAGCCGGTCTCGCCCAGTGCCACATCCCCTGAGATGGCAGACCCACTGCCTATCATTGTCTCTCTCGTCTGCATCTTCCTCCTCCTGGCGACCTTCCTCATCTTTGTCACCCTCTGCAAGCCAGCGGCACTGGACCAGTCCCACCCTGGGCCCAGTGAGTGCATGCCCCATCACCCAGCAGATGCCAGCGAGCCCCAGTTGAGGTTCTGGAAGCGACTGGGCTCCCTGCGCCGTTCCATCAACACCTTCAGGAGGAGTCGGCCGGTGACCCAGAGCCAGCTCATCTTCCCCAGAAGCTCCCCTGCCAGCCAGAACTGGCATGTCACAGAGTGCACCAAAATGTAATCCTGCTCTGTGGGAACTATCTCACCCTGCACAGCTATTCTTCCCAAGGCTTCTGATTCAGGCTCAACTCCCTTCTCAAGCAGCCCCTCAGACCTTCGGCATCCTGGCAAAGCCCCTTTAAGCAGCTGATTTCCAGGCAGCAGCTCCACAAAGCGACAGGAGACGTTCCTATTTCAAGTTCCCAAATGCTTTCCAAGTTGCTGTTTCCTGGCAGGAAAGGTGGAGGCATCCAAACTACACCCACATGCAGCTATCCCAGGGCAGTCCAAAAAAATATTGCTGCATCATTTCTTTTGGAAAATGTTGTGCAAGTTGTGAGGCACCTGGGCGAGAGCAGAGCAACCTAACAAACATCACCATGAAGAGAGGCATCCCAGGGCAAACGGGCTCCACAAAAAGCATCCCACAGCTGAGATCACCCCCCCCACAAGATGTGCTCCTGAAGCAGGTGAAGGCTTGTGCCCAGCATGTGCTGCCTGGTCCCTGTCTCCCCCTTCTCCGTGCAACAAGCTGTGGGTTGTTGCGGTTGCTGCTTGGAAGGATGCAAGCTACAGCTGTCTGCTGGAAACCTGCTTCAATAAATGAGCAGCAGGAGCAGGTAAACATGCCTGTAAATGCATTAAAGGCCTTTTGAGGCTCGCAGAGGCTGCCAGCTTGGAAAGGCACCACGCAAGGCTGAGCCGCTCGTTTCTGCTGGGAAAGGGCACAACAGCCAGCAGGTAAGCTGACGTGCTTAAAGGAGAAAGAAGAAGTGGTTTAATTCTTCCAAGTCTGCAGCTCACACTAGTTCCCTCCTTTGGGTGAAGTCTCTGTGCCCGGCAAGGCTCCCTGGTGAGCACCAGCCCCCATCTCTCTGGGTGTCACATGGTTTCTGACCCTCTCAGGGTGCAGCTCTGTTCCAGGACCTCTCCAGGCTGCCTGGGACATTTCTGTTCACCACCAGCCCTGGGCTGCCTTTTGGAGAAGAGGATGGGGAAACCTTCAAAAACTCCTGCTGCTATAGGGGTGCGGGGATGTGTTTGGAAGGGGAAACCTTTAGTAGAAATAGTTCACTTTTTAAGGTGTAAATTAAACTAAACTCGAGTGATTGTTCATTTCCAGTTCCCTCTGATTTTGTTCTGTGGAAAACAATCTTCTCCCAAATACCGCCTCTCTTTTGCCACAGACTGCCAAGGGCATCCCCCTCTTTGGGGAATTGTGCTCTAAGAAAAGGGACTTTGATGTCAGACTCAGGCTTCTTCTATTCACAGTCTTTCAATTTGCAAAATCGGCTCAATTTCAGAAGTCCCATGTCAGGGCTCCTCTCCACCCACCCAGCTCCCCTGCACCTCCAGCCCAGGCATAGGGGTTGCAGGTAGATTGTGACCCTGGGGTGTTATGAGCATCACCATGGCATGGCATAACAGGTGACCACAAGCTGCAGGAGCTCACGCTGGGGGACTGGCCTCTCTGAGCACGATGTGTAGCTCCTGGCAAACCTTATTGCAAGAGCCAAAAGGCTCCATTCTTCTCTGCCAGTGACTCACCCTGTCCCCAAGAGCCAGGGACAAAGCTGCCCCTTTCCCCGTGCTGAGAGAGGTATTAAAGGCAGGAGGAGCCTTCCCAGGGCCCTCTGCAAAGGGCCTTTGGTGCCTGCTCCAGAAGAGCTGTGGGTTTGAAGGGCTGCTGGAAGCCCTCGAAGGCTGAGTGAATGCCAGCATTCATTCAGTGCTCACTGAGCCATTCAGCTCTGCCCACCGCTGCCTCAAAGAGGAACAAAAATGAAAGCAAAGTCCAAACGCTTTTCTCCCTGCGTTTTCCCCCCACCCCCATTCAGAGCATCTCTTTTCATGCACTCTTCTCCTTTCCCCTCGAGACGGAGAGAGAAAATCTCTGCCCTGGGCTTCCTGGAGCTGACAGCCTTGGTGCCAGGGTTCAGAGCGCAAGGAACCCCCTTCACCCACCCACCCAGGGGCCGTGGTGGAAGAGAGCCACATGCCTGCACTATGCTGCTGGCAGCTGGGATGTCCTCGGGGACACTGACTTCATAGCTGCTCTGAAGGAAGATGGGTCTGTTGTCATTGACATCCAGGACGGTCACGTAGACGGTGGCAGTCCCGGTGCGCCGGTTCCCCGTGGGGCCGTTGTCTGTACAGGAGAAAAATGCGAGGAGAGGTTTGGTCACCTCCATTCTCCTCCTCGTACAGGTGGTGCTCAGCCTTAGGCTGCTGAAAACGATAGGACCAACATTTCTAAACTAAAATTCTCAGTCTTTTCTGCAGCTTCCAAACCCAATGCTAAACCACAGGGTTATTTTTTTCTGTCTATCCTGAAAGAGAAAGGAAAAATCAAATCACCCCTAACCTCTGCCTTGGGGCCGCTGCCCAGCAAGGCTGGAAATGCAACCAGTGATTAAAAAGGGTTTGCAACTCCATAGACCAAGGGAGTAATGTACACTGGAAGGGACTGCTGGAAGTCAGGGATTTTGGAAATTAGGATGGGCAGGGGTCCAATGACCTTTCTGTAGACCCAGCTCAGCTCACAGTGAAAAAGCAGCAGAACTGGTTGATGTTCAGTAGATAAGGACATGGCATCACAGTTCTTGGTTTAGCCATGAAGGATGAGGCAAAGGAGAGCATAGGCTGGGCTTGCTTTTTCCAACATGATGGAAGTAAGCACTGAACCCACTCAGCTGGGATCTACTGACTAGGGAAACACAGGCAGCCTGATACCACTGCAGGGGCAGAACGGACCCTTTACCACTTGGGACTTGGTTTTGCATGCCTGGCTGGACCCCATGGCACCTGCAATGCCGTTGCCCCCAAGATTTGTGACCAGGCCACTTATTTCACCTTTCAAAAGGGATGTCCAAGTTTTCTGTAAACAGACACATCATTATAAAGGTCTGGGGATGATGGCCAAGATGGGTTTGGCACACGGGCCCTCTGCCTGTGCCAGGTGGCTCTATATTAATTGGTAGCCACTGAGCCAAAGTCTGGCATGGTTTTAGGGCAATGATGCTGTGGTGCTGCTGGCATTTCTTGGTGGAGGTCTACCCTGGACAGCATGGAGACTCTTGAGAACAGGAGGACCTTAGCCTTCTACAGGTGAATGGGAAAGCCCCAGGGCTGGGCAGGTCTGAGGGGTGAATTTGCTGTCTCTCAAAGTCATGCTGGAACCAGTACATATTAATGCACACAGGTTACATAATGCTCACACCAAACACAGGCTCTGGTTTATAGAGCACCCCAAAGGCTGCTGTCTCTCTGCTGCATTTCCAAGGCAGCTCAGCATGTGCCCGGCCACCCCGCGTGGCAGCAGTCCCAGGGATGGGTGGGAAATCCTTACCAATGGCCTCCAGGATCAGCGTGTATGATGCCACAGTCTCCCTGTCCAGACTCACGACAGTCCTGACCACTCCATCCCGGAAGCCGACGCTGAATTTGCCATCCTGGTTCCCACCTGCAGCAAAACCCAAGGACTGGGTCACCCGTTGTCTGGATGCAGGAAGCAGAGCCCCCACAGTGGGGGTGTGGGGTCAGCTCAGCCTCAACTGCTCGGCCTGTCCTCCTGAAGGGCTGCTCTTCACACGGGCTTGAGCACGGCAAGAACCGTTGTAGAACCACTGAATCACAGAATGGCTTGTGTTGGGTGGCACCTTTAAAGACCATCTCGTCCAACCTCTCTGCAGGGAGCAGGGACATCTGCAACTAGAGCAGGTTGCTCAGAGCCCCGGCCAACCTCACCTGGAATGGTTCCAGGGATGGGGATTTGACCACCTCTCTGGGCAGCCTGGGCCAGGGTCTCACCACCCTCACTGTAAAAAGTTTCTTCTTTCTCTGTAGTTGAAATCTCCCCTTTTCTACATTAAAGCCATCATCCTTGTCCTGGTGCAACAGGCCATGCTAAAAGGTCTGTCCCCAGCTTTCTTATATACCTCCCTTTAAGTACTGAAAGGCCACCAGAAGGTCTCCCTGGAGCCTTCTCCTCTCCTCGCTGCCCAAGCCCAGCTCTCTCCTGCTGGCCTCCCAGCAGAGGGGTTCCACCCTTGGGTCACTGCTGGGCCTCCTCTGGCCCCACTCCCCC